CAGGTATGGGGTAAATACTGCATAGTAAAACAGTCGGGAGACAATGTCAAGCTTGCTCCTTTGAACTTCTATTGTTTGTTTTCTACAACAAACATCACAGTCAAGCTCAAAGGTCTGGGTCTGAATCTTAGTCCAGAGATCACCTATCCTGGCAACTGTTTCATGGTTCCCTTTAGTCTCTCCAGGCAAATACTATGTTATTACCTTAAAATGGGTTACGACTGTTTAATTCCATTTCCTTCCCAATTTATCTTTCATGACATCATCCTAACATGTTATGCCACATTAGAGTTTAAAAGGCATGATTAAATTACCAAAGAATCAATGCAACGTACACAACTGCAGTGTTATGAGATCACACTGTTTGTCAAATGTATCTAAGCCTGAAATTCCATAACAGAAATGTCACTGCATCACTGAAATAACTATAATAAGCACATACAAATGCTAATACCATGGTCTAAAGCAGCATATAAATTACACTTCAGATAGAAATATTACATTTTAGCATCATATAGCATGTGAAATTTGTTTCATTCCATCACCACAAGAAACTATGAACATATGATGTATCCATATTTCCTATTGTGGTGACAAAAACTAAGCTTTAGATACTGGCAGATGATATGCTATGGCAAAACCATTTTAGTTTAGCATCTGTGCATATGTACTGACCCTCCTGTCACATAACGATAGCTATTAAAGGGATGAAAACTTTACTGCTGCTGTGTAAATGTTCAGTTGATCAGTCACCCACATACTTGGAAACCAATGCAAGCCAATTTAAATTTTCCATAACAGAAACATTCTGTTAAGCTTTAATTTAAGAAGCAATGCATTTTTGACCCTCTTCTCCCCTTAACATAGAAGATCATAGAATTAAAACAGCCTTGTCACTTATAATTTAAGCAGTAAAAAGTAGTTAATCTTATTTAAAACATAAATGCCAAAAAAAAAAAAAACTGGGCTTATACCACCACATATTAATGTTCTAAATTAAATTGAAAAAATGGTAAATAAACTTTAGCACCATACAACACAAAATGACTTACTACAGCTATTAAGGCTTAAAAGAAGGTAAAAAAAAAGGAAAGCTATCCCTGTAACAGGCCAAGAAGGCCCATAGCGTTGTGAGATGTCAATGCTCACACATTTTCTAGACAATCGGCTCACAGATGGAGGTAAGGTTGTCAGCCTTACACACTGGCCGCCCTTTACTCCCNATCCAATAACCACATCAGGATTCAAACCCGCGACCTTCCAGCTTGTAGTATAGTGCCTCAACCAACTATGCTCCCGAGTGCCACCAGTTTCAAAGAAGGTTTATCATCTATCTTCTTCTGTACTTACAAAGAGAAGTGTACATCTCTTTGTTATTCATACGTTTCCCCACTGCTGCAGTACCCATTTTGAAGAAACTCAGCATGATGCTAGAGGGCCTACCTGAGGCAGTTTCACACTTAATTCCCTATTCCTTCTTATGTAGAAAAGGCATTAGGATTATGACAATGGGACTGCTGTTAGGATATGGGGAGGGGCAGGAATACCTGAACTAATTTGTGAAGAGTTTCACCTTATGGGATATAATACGACATAGTTTTTTAAAGTAAACCGATATCTATGTGTTCATGCTGGTTTCTTGCTTGGCTTACTCTCCAACCCTGAAGATGGGCACAAGCATGTTTCTGCAGAAAGTCTGTTGACTCTGAGGGGGCCTACATGGCATTAGATCCCAGAAGACTGTAACTCTTTACAACCACCACTTTGAGAGCTTCAAATCCAGTCTTGTGCGATGATACGTGGAGAAAACACAAAATATCTTCTGCCATTACTATGTTATGGGGAGAATGCAAACTATCACATGCTGTTGCTAGATACAGGGGAAAACACAAACTACCTTCTGCTGTTGCTATAACAGGAGGGAAAATCCAAAACAACTACCAGGATACAGGAGAAACCCTCAAGTACCTTCTGCCATTGTTATATTTCTTATAAATTTCAGTTTCTTATATGTGTGTGTTACACTTGGGCAAAGGCATGTATATTTTACAGTCCTACATATATAAAGAACTGATGTCCTGTATATGGATAAATGGTCACATGCATATACAGCTGCACTTCTTTCAATGCACTGAAGTATGTTACAGTACAATATGACAGCTTTATTGAAGTTATATTTTGAATGTATGATTTGACTACATAATAGAGAGAGCAGTTACTTTCTTCAGTGAAGTGTCATGTCACATTTGATCACTCATACAACAAAATTAACATATATTCAATTTTGAATTATCACAATTACCTTCAATTACTTCCCACAAACAAAAACAAGACATAAAAGTAGACAGCATATACTTCATAGGTGCATTCTGCAGAAAGAATCATAAATGATATGCCAACATCCATGCCCTTCAAATTAGTTACAGAAAAAAAAATTGTAGCTAATGTGAAAACGAGGGGTGATATACACAATCAAGGCTACAATAAAATCTTCCCTTAAAATAAACAAACACTGAATTCACATACAATCACTCACTGTTAGCTTATACCTAATCAAATTGGTGAAAAGTCAAAACTATAGGCCTATACTGAATGCATACACAATCAATATTGAGGCTGCACTGTTCACTGTTATAATGAACACTAAAAGGAAATTAAATACGAAGAATTTGTTTAATAAATATTTCAAGTCATACAGTAACAGAAAACTTCTATAAGAGAATAACACAAATCTTATTTAAATTAAATGTAAAGTTAGTGAAGACTCTTTTGTTCTTCCTTAATTGTGATCTTTCACTGAAACAACCGAAGCCTTTATTTGTGTCAACTGTCCATTACAACTGAGAATAAACTAGTTCTGCAGCATAATCAATTATATGTTAGTTAAACATATATTTATATATATTTTGACATATGTATGTGTGTTGATAAATTTTATTAATACTCCCTAATATCAAATCTCATGAAAATTCACTCACTGGTTGCTCAGTTGTTTGTGTACAGAGTGAATTTAATCTTCACTAGGCAGGGTCCTGAACATGTCTAAATTAATGACATATGCAAAGCATAATTTAGAGCAGTGATATCAATATGTGGCACATGTTCCATGCATGGAACATCACAGCCCCAAAAATGGCACATAAATACTTCTCAAGAGGAGACATATTTTTTCTTCAAATTTTAATATTTGGTGCTTACTTTTCACTTTATTTGGCAGAAGTGTAATCTTAACACAATCATTACAGTTTTGCCAAGTACAACAATTTGTAGTAACTAGATCTAATGAAGGCATTTGAACTTTAAAATTATATTGTATGCTACCACAAATTTCTGCCAAACCTATTCATTATAGCACATGCCTGCTATGGGTTCCAGACAGAACAAAGAGAGGATGACCTGATATTCTCTTCCTAGTAGCACTCCCCGCACGTAAATCCAATATAAGAGTATGTTCAGTGGGAGTTGAATCAGAGAGCTCTGTATTTTTACATACTGATTTTAATGGTATATCTGAATGTTACAAGAAAAGTGTTCTGTATTCCTGGGTACAACAAATGTATGTTTACATTATTATATTTAAAGCTGCTGTCACTGAAACAAATGTGTTCTATGATTTCAGACGTACTTCATTAACACACCAACTGTTCACACCCATAAAACAATTAAACAACTCAACAGAAAAATAGTCACTAAGCATACCAACAAATGTAATTTACTGAAAATCTGGAAAGATGTGTTTCCATTTATTTGGGGCACAAATGGAAAACCAAATTGTGGTATGTGGGACTTATCAAATAATAAGAGATTCAATTATAATCAATATTATATTGCAGCAGCATAAAGAATAAAACAAGAATAGAAACTAATTACAGGAACAGAATTATGGGAAAGTTATATCAAAAATGAAACACCACCAGCAGTAGATATAAAAAATGTTGTCAACAGAATGCTGGCAAACTGAGAGCCATTACTGTAGCACTGTATGACATTTCATCACTAATTTCGAAGAAAATAAAGGAAGAAATCTGAGTGCCCAAAGGAAGAAAAGACCATGCAGAAGGTGGAATTCACAGAAGCTGGATCTTACCATCTGCCTAATTCTCGAACTGAAGAATAAGATGATGATGCAGGAGGAAGGCATTTTCTGACGGTGAGCAATTATCATGCTGATTTTAGAAATCGTAGCGAAACAGCTTGACGACAAAACTTCTCAATATTCCACTATCATAATCAACTGTAACAAGGTGCACTGAAGAACTGGAAATTAATATGATGAACCACCACAACATCTATGCAGCAATGTGTTCATGATACAGCTCGGTTGTGCACTTTTATTGGAAAAAATCATAAAAATCTTTGTTACTGAAGAACTTGTAGGTCTTGAGCTACTTCACAGTATAATGAATAATTAAGATATTTTTGAAACATAAATTGTGCACATAAAAATTACTGCAGATTTCATGAAACTAGATAGACTGTGCACTGACAGTGCTCCTACTGCAGTTTGTAAAAACTTAGAACTGTTCTCATTGCTAAAGAAGTATTTAAAGGGTCCCACCCTCGAATATCTCTGCATTACACACAATGATTCATTACATGGAAAATTTTTAATTCTCACTCATGTTATGGGTACACTAGTAACATGTGTACATACAATTGTAGCAAATAGTTTGTTTTGTTAAGAATTCAAAGAACACTGTTAATATCTGAGAAAGGGCATTTCACTGTGATGTGTGGTTGCTTTCTAGACGTAAAGTTCTGCAACACATTTGGCAACTGAAAGACAGTGTTTTGAATTTCTGGAAGAAAACAGTGAATGACCAGACTGCAGATGTCTGTTACAAGACCAGGAAAGGTTCTCTTGCTTTCTTAGTCAGTTTAACTGTTCATGTACATTTACTGAATGTTAAATTACATGGCAGAAACAAATTATTTACCAAATTAATAACCAATAATTCATAATTTAAATTTAAAGTAAACTGATTATTTACATTATTAAGGGATCATTCTAAACATATAAAATCATAACATAAACATTTAAAAATATATTACCAAATAAACAACTTGCAAATAATGATGGATTATCACTTCGGTGAAATTTTAACAGATGTCAGTAACATATCACTATTTACTAATCCACTTTCTATAGCTGAACAGAAAACAGATGTACCGGACACAAATATAACAATGGAAGTGACTGAACTAAAATGTAAATTGTTATCCCGATGAGGTGGATTTTTTTCAATTGACCTAATCCTTCCAGCTGCACTATGGCCCTGGGGTCGACTCTGTTTTCTGTTCAGCTATAGAAATTGAATTAGTAAATAATGAAATGTTACTGACATCTGTTAAAAGTTCACTGAAGTGATAATCCATCATTATTGCAAGATGTTCATTTTGCTAATATATACGTATTTTTAAATGTTAATGTTATGATTTTCAGTCTGTGACTTTGTACGTTTAGAATGACCCCTTAATAATGTAAAAAATTAATTTACTTAAATTAAAATTATGAATTATTGGTTATTAAATACTTCCTGTAATTCCTACAGCTGATGACACTATCGAGTTTTGGAAGTCACTGCCTTATGAAAATTTCCCTAACCTCAGAAAAATGTGTCCAGCAATGTATCTGCCATTTTGCAATCATTTATCTATGACAAGTCTTTACATCGATGAAAGAAACCAAGACCAAACATCAGTCTCAACTTATGACTTAAAAAAAACTGGCAATTCCTGAAATAACAAAATTACGTGTAGGATTTGCGGTTCTCACAGTAGCAGTTATGAACAAGTCTATCTTCTGGGACACAAAATTAGAGAAATTTAAAATAAGAAAGATTTTATTATCAGCATTATTGGGTCTTTTTTCTTTGAGCCAATTTGTCATCAGCTTGTAATTATGAAGAGTTCTATCTTCTGGGATACAAAGCTGTGAAGTACATATACATATACGTATATTGAAAGCCAAAAGAAGTTTTGGAGGAACATTTTGCCTCCATCCTCAGGGTTGAAGAGCAAGCCAAACAGGAAGCCAGTATGAAGCAAGTAGCAAGCAAAGCTTTGCTTGTATGTGATATGTTCCTCAGCAATGCCAGTTGACTTTCAACAGACTACATGGCATTATATCCCAGACAACAACCTGATTACAAATTGGCTGAGGTGAAGCAAATACAAGACTCAATAATGTTGGTAATAACACATTTTTTTTTCTATTTCTTTGTTTTAAGATGTGAACCTATAAAAAAAACAACTTGAGGCAAAGGTGTATGAGTAAAAACATACCTCTGTTAATACAGTCAACTCAATGGCACCTTACACTCCTGGCCTACAGAAAGTGGCACAAGATAAAAATTAGGTTAAGCACTACTGACAGTGGGTGAGAATTCTGGGGTGAAATAGAAATTTAGACATAAATAGAAGGCGAATATTAAAATGGATCTTAAAGGAATGGAGTTTGAGCATATGAACTGAAAGTATCTGGTTCAGAATTGGATCCAGTGACTTGAACTAAGAGCGTAATGAAACCTCAGGGTTCCATAACAGGCAGGGAACTTCTTTGACAAGCAACTACTAGCTTCACAAGAATAATTCTATTTCATGTAAATAATGGTGACAAAATCTGTAAGCTGTAAGTACAAAAACTTTTTCTTTAACAAAAATTACTATGATGAAATGCTCAAGAAGTACAGTAAATCATTCATATACCATCAGCAGACCATGTTTTAGACATGTCATATGGGAGTTCTTTTATGTCTTTACATACAAAGAGTACTTGAGTATAACAACTTTAATTATGATGGGGCCCAGGATCTGCCACATCAAGTTCTTAAAATACAGAGGTCCATAACATACAGGCTACTGTAAATCCTAACATAACATTTTCATTTTCCTTAACTGAGGCTGATAGTGAGACCATTTTGAAAGTGAAAGTGCTGGGTCTAAGCTCCATTTGTAGACTGGCTTTGATATTATTATTACAATACTGATGTCATATAGTTATCTCCAAAAAATGCCAGGACATACATTCTTGTTTCTTACTTGTCTTATAAATTAATAAATGCTCTTACCTTTCAGAAACATCCGAACTTACATTTTCTCTCTTTTTAAATAAACCAAAATTAGTTGAATCTTTACTGTATCTCTCTATATATACAAAACGAAATGCATGCCATTAGGGTTTACATTTTTAAATATTTCACAGCACTATTGGAGAAAGATCTCGTAACAGAACTTGAGGCTGGCAAAAATGTATATGGCGGCAACTTCTATAGCTGTCTCAATATACATGAATATGCAAAAGAGAGAGTCAAAACTGTAAAAAAGACATGACACTGTCCTAAAGGCAGCTTTCTTAACAAAGTTCCACTGTTTTGCATTAAAATGAAAAGTTATAACATTAATTTGGATTGCACAAACCAAAACCTGTGTATGATTCTGTTCAGGAAATGTCTGTCATTCAGTTCCTGAATACCATAATAAAATGAATGATGGTTTGCCTGAACACAGAAAATATAAGCACCATGACATCATTCAGACAAGCATAGCACCAACTACAAAACAATTCAGCTGCCATAGGAAACAGGTGATAAATGTGTACCTTTAAATTCAGTTGTAAAATTAAATTTTAATAAGACAGAAACATAACTGGTAATTAGACAATAATTTCTGTGTTCAAATTTTAGACGCACCTTGTCTGAAATGAGATTTTACCAACATTCCCCTAATAAACCAAATTAATTTCCCTTCTTCAAGTGTGAATACATTTCAAAGATCGGAACTATATATACACTTTTATTACTGAAGAATGTGAATACTGGAAAGGTATCACAAATATAAGTATTAATGGGCATGGACTCCTCAAGACTCCAGATAGATTTCTTTAAATCTGCACTAGATTCTATATAACAAAATCCACATGCAATGGCAGCAACCATTTTCAATGGTTCTCGCCATAAACTGAAATTCTTGTGAAAGGGGGGAAAAGAGCAACAAAAGAAAAGAAAAAAACACATATGTACTCATAAATCTCAGATATAAAAAAACAACCTAATCTAACTTTACAAGTGACCAAAGTCATCATCAATCATTTGCCTCTAACAAGGCACGTTAGTGTTAATTCTCCTGCATCCTTTTGAAAAACAATGCAGAAATGTTATACCCCACTTTTAAAGTGTCTATACATAAAGATAATTATGATTCCATGCAACTATGTTAAGGAAGTTCCGAGTATTTGATTCCTACTGTCTTCATTTCAAACCTGCTTCATCATTAGAGCAGAAACAGTCTTTATAAGTCAACTGATCCAGACGCAGGTACAAGCAGGTCACTGAACTTACTTTTCCAACCCCAGCACCATCTATATACATTTCACTTCTTTCTCACTGTACTGCTTGTGGTCTCACCCGGCGTGTTTTGACAAGTTGAGTGGAACATCTGGAAACAAAGTGAACTCATCATTAGGCCCAATTGTTTCAACATTGAGAACACAGAAAACAACAGAATAACCTCAGATTCTTCATTTACCTGAAGCACCATCATCCTTCTTGAAGTCATCCAGGGGTTGCTGGTTCAAAGACCCCCATGGGCAGGAGCTGAGTGGAGGGGCCTGGCAAGGGGGCACCAGCCCAGGAGGGTACAGTGCTCCCCGTGGAAGACTAGAGAGCGGGTAGTTGACCCAGTATGAAGGGATGGGTGATGGTGAACCGCGATATGGTGGGGGAATAGATGATAAGCCAGACAAGTAGGGATGATGACCAAGGGATGAAGAGGGATGGTGAGGTAGGTAGGGAGGTGTGAGAGAAGGGGTATATAGCAATGGTGATGGCAGAAAGGATGACAACTGGGGGGCATGTGCCGGGTTTCCCACGGACGGAACAACAGGAGTTCGTAGCCCTGAGCGAAGTGACTCTGGTGATGGAGAAAGCGTGGGGGACCCATGGTGAGATGGCGACCTAATTTGCCGATGCTGAGTGGGTGAAGCTTTTCTGCTTCCTCCAGTCTTATTGGTTCCCTTTGGCCTGGGGCTTGGCTCAGGAGACGTGGCCTGCTGGGATGGAGACTTGAGCAGAGTACGTAGAAACGACGGTTCACTGTCTTGTATTCCTGCTCCAGCTACAGCAGCTTCCTCATCCCGGCCTGTACCCAGAAGAGATGTGATACTGTAACTGCAACTGCTCACACTAACCTTTGTCCCTGGCTGGGGTGGTGAAGGCAGAGCACTACCTGGTTGCAGAGTTTGGCACGTGACGATGCAGTTGTTGCTACTACCATTGTTGTTATTATTGTGGGGCAAGGCACTAGTGGTACGAGCTCGGTGCCGTTTTGAATTAGCCAAGTCATCAAGGCTGACTCGTTCCATCTCTCGAAGAATTCTTTTTCGCGGAGATATTATGCTTGGATCCATGCGACAGGCAGCCACAGTCACTGTCCTTGCATGGTTCTGCACTGGCATTGATGTACTCACCCCACTGCTGCTACATGCCACTGTTTCACTACTGCTTGATCCCTGCACTCTTTCCCACAGTGTTTGTACTATAGTAGTCAATTTGGCTGGATCCGATCCTACTTTTTTCAGCCTCACTAATTTCCCATTGTTTGTACTGTTCACATCTAACACAGTAACTTCCGTGGGATCATAAGGGCTTCTTCTTTTCCGGCGAATAGTATTCGAGAAGAAGTGCAAGTTCCGGATATATAACATGTGACGCAATGGCTGCATGATGAATGTCATCTCCTTGCCAATATTATGGCGTGGATTACTTTGTTTCCAACAGTGATCACGCTGCCATGGGGATGACTGAACTGATGAATTATCATCCGATACTGCAAACATAAGCAAGCCCTTTTCAACTGCACTGTTACAGTCATTCATTAAATTGATGCAGAAATATATACAGCAAGTGGATCCAATATGAACTGGTGAACAAACTGAACAAAGGAAATAACATAAAACATGCAAATTTCTAATAGTATTGTGCTGTGTTTTATATTACTTACAGCCATAGAACTTCATCACCAGTCCAATTTGAGGCAATTCTTTCATTAAGGTAAGGTTAGTAAAACCCTGCAGGACCACATACTTGAGCATGTAAGAATTCCATGCTACTACCTAAAATGTTAACAGCATTTAATGGAAGTCAACAGTACTACTGTGCTCAAATGTGGGCCAAATTCAGTTTACAGAAGGCATGGAAAATATACTGGGACTATTACGGACATGTAACTCTGTTTTATCTATTTTATTCTCTTTTTCATTCTGGTCCATCACACGAACAATATTATAAAAGATAAAACAACTCCATCCAGTGTGACTGTTGAAGTTTTTACTACTTCAGTACTTAACACTCTTACATGTTTCGGTCCTGACAGACCATCATCAGAGGGACATCGATACTCTTTGGAAACCACTATTACAATGGGTGTCCTGAATGTTAAAATATATACACATACAATGTTTGTAATGCACTGTAACCGCACCATGCAGGAACATCAACAATGTTGTTGATTTACATTCTTAATTACAATGTACTACATTTAAATGAACTGTATTACTGATAACAAGATGATATACAGTTGTCCCCAGGCCCAGCAGATGCCAAGGACAACATCTAGTCTTTCTGAGGGACAAGCAAGCTGCAGGTCACTTGAAAACCCAGAACGGAGCAGGAAGTATCCCGCTGTGTTTTCTGGGGATTTCAATGCTTAACTTCGACGGTTCGAGTCTTTGAAAATTTGAGGCTTGACAGATACGAGTCGCAATAATTTTCGAAGGGGTGTACCAAGCGATCGTTAGCGTACCTCCATTTATTTGAGAGCTGTCAGAGGGACCGTGTTGTACTTANTACAGTTGTCCCCAGGCCCAGCAGATGCCAAGGACAACATCTAGTCTTTCTGAGGGACAAGCAAGCTGCAGGTCACTTGAAAACCCAGAACGGAGCAGGAAGTATCCCGCTGTGTTTTCTGGGGATTTCAATGCTTAACTTCGACGGTTCGAGTCTTTGAAAATTTGAGGCTTGACAGATACGAGTCGCAATAATTTTCGAAGGGGTGTACCAAGCGATCGTTAGCGTACCTCCATTTATTTGAGAGCTGTCAGAGGGACCGTGTTGTACTTAGGCCCAAATTAACATGGATCTGGATAGGGATTGGCTGAATGCAAATGAGAGAAACACCCAAATTTTAGGTTCAGCCAATCAGCAAAATTTCAGAGGAGAGGAATCCAGGCGTTCCCGGAACCGTCGGGACTTCTGCCTCTCCAGAGCAGTCAGTCATCAGAAGGAAATAGTGGGAGGCAGTCATCAGAAGGAAACGGCGGGAGTGAGTCATTACAAGGCAATAAGAGCAGTCATTACAAGTCATTACAAGTCATCAGAAGGAAACAGCGGGAGTCAGTCATCAGAAGGAAACGGCGGGAGTGAGTCATTACAAGGCAATAAGAGCAGTTTTTACACGGGAATAAGAGCGTAGTCATGGATAGTGAGTAACTGGAGAGAGTTGCCAAAGGGAGTAACAGTAGTAACCTCCCGGACGTTAAATTGGTGTATAAAGTCCAAGTGCTAGGGCCTCGTAATGTGTAACTCTAGTGAACACTAACAATAAAAGCAACAGTGTTGGTGAAGTGCTAGTTTTTTTCAGTGTTCTCTCTCCCCTTGTGTGAGCAAGGCCCAGAAGTCGCCCTGAGACAGAATCTCGTCCTACCTTCTGAGCAGTCGGAACCCCAAACGTCCGCCTATCCATATCCCCACCTTTGTTTTACCAGTTCCAAAGTCGTGGATTTCACCCAAGTCCACTGGCGCCCATAAAAATTCAAGTATTCAGAGCAATCCCACACCCTACCCTGAATCAGACAGCTACAAGGAAGCGGCGGATAAAAGGGCAGACCACAAAGGTGCGAACGTGAAGGGCAGGTAAGGGACGACCAACTCGTGAGGCTTGAAGTCTCACTGAGCGGTAAGGACGACGAAGAGGATGGCGGTAAGAAGTGGCGCCGAACGTGTAGGCAGATAAAAGGGTGGTAAGAGCACAATATACAAAATCCAAAGTTTTCACAACTACAGCAGTTGGCTTGGTATACTGAAGTTTTTTAAAACTTTTGTTATTTAAGTCTGAACTGATGGCGTTCATTTAGTATATGTTGGGCAAATGCTGATTCATCTTTGTTTAGTCTTATGTTTCTTATGTGTTCTTCGTACCTTGTTGTTAGATTTCTACAAACAGAAATGGAAATATACTGTAACGTGTTCGGAAAAGACACTTCCATAGTAACGCAACAACAGTGAGCCGTTGCGTCAAGAGCGTCGAATCTCCACAGTTACAATGAATACACGGAGCGTTCCCACAGAGACAATGCAATAACAGTGGGTCCTTCCGTAGGAATCGCAGAATCAACAAAGCAGCGTTTCCACAGTTATAACAGAGGGTTCATTTGCATAGCAGCGGCCGAGGGTATAAAAAGGGGTTGCATGCATTCGCCAGAGTCTCGGGCAGATGTCGAGAGATACAGAAGTAAGCCTGGGAATAGCCGCTACAGAAGACATTCACAACATAGCAGCCGAGATCAGTGGTACAAGAAGTAATTATAACAGTGAAGCAGTGGATAATAATTGTACTCGTAAGCGTATAAGTGAAGCGTCCAACAAAGATTCGCTGAATCTGAGACCCATGCATAGTTATTTGTCACATGCCATACCCAACACGTGACAATACAGAAAACCCACAACGACAGACTTACTTACTCATGGAGCTGAGCCCTTCTTGTGGAGCCGCCAATTCTGCAGCTACTCAAGAATTTCCCAGCATTTTATGGAACCAGAAGGTTCATCACCGTGTTCACAAGAGCCCTCCACTGGTCCCTATCTTGAGCCAGATTTATCCAATCCATACCATCCCATCCTGTCTCTCTAAGATCCATTCTAATATTGTTCACCCACCTACGCCTTGGTCTTCCCTGTGGTCTCTTTCCTTCTGGCTTTCCCATCAATATCCTATACGCATTCGTCTCCCCCATTCGTGCTACATGACCTGCCCACCTCATCCTCCTTGACTTGATACAACAACAGACATAACAATAAATAATAAATCATGCCACCCTAAAGAACAAAAATTAGCAGCATGCAAAAATTTGATACACAGACTTCTCACACTACCCCTCGTGGAGAACGCTAAAAACAAAGAGTTAAACACTGTTATTAATATAGCACTAAATAATGGCTATAGATAGGAAGACATCACACAACTACGTAACAAACTTAAACGAAAAGTAATCCAAATAATAAAACAATATTATACTTAAGCATCCTGTTGCACTCTACACGATAAATGATACAAACTCCGTCCCAAGTGCAAACAATATATATTATGTCTTTGATCTTGTTTTCTTCCACACTACATGTTTCGGCCTCTATCGGCCATCATCAGGTGTATACTCTTAACGTTGCTGCTACACTGAACCCAGTCTAAAATTTAACATTTTAAAACACATTGTTATTTTCTTCGTATTATCAACATCTACCTCGTTGATATGTGTCTGGTATGTAGATTATATTGCACACGTCAAATTTGATTTTCCTGTAGTAGCACTATAAAATCTTTAGTTATGATTTTAAAATCCTTTAAAATTTCTCTAAATTTTAAATTTAAAATTTAAAATTGTTATGGTTACTCGCCCTATGTCTAAAGTGCTGGAGCGGCTAGTTCTTGTTTCCACACTGTACAGGTGTTATCTGTAATATACAAATATTCGTATATTTGTTGTTCTCTTTCAATGGTGAACTATAAAGTTCACCATTGAAAGAGAACAACAAGAATCAATTAACTTTCTAGATATAACAATATATCGCAATGAAGATAGGTTGCAATTCGCAATATATAGGAAACCCACACAAACAGACATCATAATACCTAACAGTTCGTGCCATCCATTCGAGCACAAATTGTCAGGTATTAATTACCTCATAAATAGACTATACACATACCCAATAACAGAAAAAGGAAAACAAATAGAGAAGAACATTATTAAAAACATATTACATAACAACGGATACGTCACAAACATAACCAAAAGATTAATCAAGA